CCAGCTCTGTTGCTGCTGGCCGCGAAGCCTTGAGCAAGTCCCCGAGCACTCCAAGCCTCAGTGTCCGGGTCAATGAAATGGGGATAAAAACACTGTCCTCACAGGTAAGTGTAGGTACTAAAAATGTAATAAGTAAGCAAAGGGACTAACATCTTTTTGTCCATTTCAGCTTCATACAGACCAAGCAGTGTGCCAGGAACCAGGGCTACACCACCCGGGGCCTGGCCCACGGTGCACACTCAGCTGATGTGGCGGTCCCCTTTCCTGAAGCATTTCTGTGACGGCAGTCCCAATCAGGATGCAAAACTGAGGGAGGCACCAGAACGCACCTCTTGGAAAACAAGAGAAATGGTCACTTACGGGTCCAGTCTCAGCTGTCATTTCCATGCACCATGACCCCCCACCGAAAGACACAGGGACCCCCGGAGCAGGAGGAGCTAGCCAGGGGCTGGGGACAGCAAGGCTGCAGGCAGTGGGTTATCTGCGGGAAGAGACCTTCCTCAGCACTGGGTGCCTGGAGCTCTGGAGAGCGGGTCAGGCTGGACTGCGGGGGGTCTGCACACGCAACCCACATAAAGGGCAGCTGCCGTCTCGTCACCAGGAGGAAGCCACTAGCCCACCACCAGTAGAATTTTGTCACGGAGAAGCAACACATGGAGGAGACACGGGGAGGACCCAGGAAGGCCTTCCCGGCTGCCCCAGACCCACATGGGGACCAAGGGCCACACTCGTAAGCCAGCTGGGGGATCACCAGATTGGGGGCTTTTGGAGCTGAGCTACCAAAGCTGCCGCATCTGAAGAAATGGCCCAGCAACCGGGGCTCTCTGGACGCTTGGCAGGAACAAGGTCATTATTTCCCACCATCCCAAGGGCCTCAGAGGGAGGGACAGAGGTAGGGAAGGGACATGTTTTGCTGAGTGCATACCTGAGCCAGGCATTCTGCAAAGTGCCTACAAACATTATCTCAGCTATTCCCCTCAAAATCCTACCACCAGCCAGGTACTGTTATCCCCTTTCATGGATGCAGAAACAGAAGTGAAGGAACCTTCCCCCAGGACACCCAGCTCAGGTGAGTGGAGGCACACATTCGCACCCCATTCGTGCCCCATCACACTGCACTGCCTCCAGCACTGTTGGGACCAGGTGCCATTGCACGGACGTCCAGGACAGGCTGGATGCACATCAGGAGAGCTGACCAGGGCAAAGGAAGGAAGACAGGGTGCCTTCCCCAAAGTCGGAGCCCTGGGGGCACCAGGGGTCCTGCAAACCTATGAGGTCTCAATAGCCAGGCTGGGGGGCACCTGCCAGTGGTGGGGGAGGGGGGCGTGATGGGCTGGAACCTTCACAAGACCAGTGCCCGTAGAAGTGAACAAGCTCTTCAGGGGATTTCGAGGAGATGGGCTGATTTGGTGTGCAGGACAGCTGACTCATAAGGCAGGCGACACTGGGGCCCTGGCGGAGCTGGCCAGGGTTCCCTGAGGCCACTCAGACTAATGCATCAGAGACGTTTTGTTAGGAAGATTACAGACTGAAGCGGGAGCACCAAAAATAATGAATCTGTGAGTGGATTTTATTTAGGTGTTGATTCATGGTTGTCCTATAAGCCAACAGCCCGTCAGAACTATAAATTAACGAGATAAAATGTGGCTGGCTCTCCATATTTCAGGCCGGGTATTGACATTTCAGAATCCACAGATTTTTAACTGTATTGATTGAGGACACCAGGATAAATGGCCTTGGCGCCAAATTCCCATTAACGACAATGGGCACCGAGTGACTAATTCCCAAAGCACTGCGGTGAGAACGCCCTGCATTGCCTTCTCCTGGCAGAGAGTTCTAATTAGATTGAAATGAAAAAGCCAAATCACCAAGGGCGGAAAGAGGCAGATCGAGTGAAAAGGGAAATCAGACTCGGTGACGAGAAAGGACGACGAGAGAAGTCAAACCGGGCCGAGAGCCACAGGGGCCGCCCAAGCCCACCGGCCTCTGCTAAAGACAGCATCTACGACAACCTGGGCCAAGGGTGGGGACGCACAGCCGAGGTGGGAGGCACGGGGGGAGCCACCGATGGGTTTCGCTGCTCAGCAAGGGCCAGCCTCTGCTCACACACTCCAAGTCGCTGCTCCGAGCCAGCCCTGGCCAGATGACGAAGACACGAAGACTCCCAGGGCAGGCCCCATTCTCAAGAGCTCCCACACTAGTCAGGGCGACAAACACAGAGACCAACAGCCCCCTCAGCAGGAGAAGTCCATGTCGGGGCCGGAGGGCTGCTCCAAGGGTGAGGTCCACACCCTGAGACCTCCCCACGAGGGACAAAGGATATCCAACATGCTCACTGCTACAGCCCCAGCACCAGGTCCTACACATAGCAGGTGCTCAGGAAATACCTGCTGAGTGAATGGAACCCGGCTCTCAACAGGTGATGAGTGCTAGTCCCGGGAGTGGGGTAGCGTGGAAAAGTCCCCCCGTCTTAGGCGAAGCCCTGAGGACAGGGGCTGAGCCTTCCCTCCACCACCCAGTACACCACCGTTGGAGGAGCACCCTGGGCCTGGGGCCACACGAGCTCCTCTCCAGTGAAGTTCTGCCACAGACTGGGCAGGGCATGCCCCCTCCCCTCCTCCAGCTCTCCACCTCACCCTGGTCATACCCAACCAGCTGAAGATACCAGGCAGACCTGCCCAGAGTGCAAATCAAGCCATGATTCTCTCCTGCTCCAAACTCAGCAACGGCCCCCTACTGCCACCTGCTGTGGCAGTCCCTAACTTGTCAGGAAGACTCTCTTCAAAAAAATCCAAAAATTTCAGAAGCCTTCCCCCACATTCACACACACCCACACATGCCACGGCAGTGTCTGTTTAACATCTGTTGATTGAGAAGATACATCATGACAAAGGGCCACTAAGCATCCATTAATGTTATCAAATGAACTCGTATTTGATTAACCCAACAGCACCGCCAGGATGTGAAAAGCATCACTCCTTCGCTCCGAGGCTGGGCAGTGCAGGTACCCATGGGCACCCAATGACCCTGGAGTGGGGGGGGGGCAGCGGGGCCAAGAAAAGGAAAAAGACCTCACAGGCCGGGAACCACAGGTCTGCACCCCCAGACTCCCCCCCAACTGCCTGCACCCCACAACGCCACACACTCCACTCCTGTTCCTCTAACAACTCTGTCCTCATTGTTCTGTCTGCTGGGAATGTGCTTCCCTCCTCCTCCACCACACCCCCTCCACCCGGATCTTCTGTCCCCTGGGTCCTGGGTGCTGCCTCCTGCCAGGTTCCAGGCTACAGGTTCTTGCATCTCGCTCCATCACCACAACCTGGGATTCTGTCCACACTTCCGTCTCCCCCGGCAGACAAGAGCTTCTGGGGTGGATCCTGGGTCTGCATCTCCAATGCTGAGCATGGATTACTGGGCACACGGGCAACGGAGTGAGCCTGGCAGATTTTTGCACACAAAGAAGATGCTGGTGGTGCGGCCTTAAAGGGTGAGACCCCAGATGTAAGGCTGCAGGAGAAGGCCTAGCACACAGTGGGTGGTCAGGACATTACCCACCGCGGTCATCACCAAGTGGCACCAAACTCCCTGAGCCATGGCATCCTCATCGGCCCTGTGGGACTCACTGTAAGACCACAAATGGTTAGGGAAACACTTTGTTGAGAAGAAAAACCCCATATACACTCAGCACCGTGGAAAGACATAGGATTTGCAAATGCAGACATGGCTCTAAATCCCCACTTGCCACGTACCACGGGGAGGTCGTGAGCTAGCTACTCCCTGCTCTGAGCCTCAGCTTTCTGCCTGTAAAATGGAGAAGAGATTGCAGGCAGCACGCCATGGTGAGGGCCTGTGGCACAGTACCGGCCGCTGACACGGCCACCAATCTTGTCCTCACCCCCGCTGAGGACGCACGGGGCTCAGGCAGAGGAGCCTCGAGGCCAAGCCTCAGCAATCCAGTGACAAGTATGCTCCGGGTGGGACACAAACCCCACCACTACCCTACACCATCCTCCGTATTCCTTCGCCGTGCCCCCTCCCAGCTGCCGGGGAGGGGCTGTGTGGTCGGGCCCGGAGCTGTCGTCTCCTGCTTGCCAGGCCCTGAGAGAGGCACGGACCCCAGGGCCTTTGCCACGGGGTATGGGAGGCCTATGTGAAGACTTGGGACACCCCGGGGATGGGCGGGGACTCCGGCCTCCCCTCCTGGCCCCGGCAGGAGAGTCCAGCAGAAAAGTGACCAGAAGGAGCCCAAGGAAGAGGAGGCCACGTGGGTGCTGAGACCAGCCAACCTGAGTCAGGGGCAGAGGCTTCGAACCAGCTCTGACCCCGTGGCTCTGTCCTCGCCTGAGGACCACGGACAGGACCCCACGCAGGGGCTGTGGCGGGATTAGGTGCTAAGAGTGCCTGTTGCACAGGAGTACTCGCTAATGTAAAGTTCCTTCCACGGACTGCTCTCTCCTCCTCGCCCTGCTTGTCAAGAGCCCCCTTAGGATTTACCCAGCACAAATCCATCTTACCCAAATGCCTTTTCAGTGTAGGCATTAAAGCAGAACTCGTTTGCAGACTTTCCTTATGAGCTGGAATCATTCCTTGCAGCCTTTCAACGATAATGAATTGACAGGAATTCTAAACTGATTCCAACCAAAGGACATTGTGATAAAGCTAAATCTATTTTGGTACAAATTACATGTCAGAAGTTGATTAAAAAGCTACCTCTTTATCCAGCCCCACAGCTTGGGCTGAGACAACCTTGGGGCTCTGTCCTCCGGGCAGACTGGCAGAGGCCCACCTTGAACCCTCCGTGGAGAGTCGTGGTTCCAGGCAAATGCCCTGGAAACGCACTCACCAAGGTGAGCCTCTCCTGAGGGCTACCTCCTACTGCCCCGAAGCCATATGCAGCTTGTGGCTGCTGACCGCCCAGAGAAGCTTCCCGATGAGAAAGCCGACCCAGCCGCCAGCTCCGAGGAAGGGGCGCCTCGGGGTAACAATGCAGTAAAACACACCTGTTTCAAGGTCCGTGAGGTGTAGGGCGAAGTCGAAGCCCCCGCTGAGGATGCGCCGGCCACAGGGGGACCACCGGGCGGCCCGCACTGCCTCACTGTGCAGGCAGTAGGTCTGCAGGCAGCGGCCTGAGTCCACAGCATTCCACACCTACGAGGCAAACACAGAGCCAGATGTCAGAAGCGGAGGCCTGACCTCTGGGGCTTGGCTTGGCCCCTCTATGGGGTGGAGAGGGTCTCCTAGCGGAACTAGATTCCTGTTATTTTACCATCAAAACCACATCTAGCTGTTAAATTCTTCCGTGCAGAAATGTCAAGTTTTCGGGGCTGGTGAGTTGAGGGGGAGCTTTTCCCAAAACCCCTCCCGGGGTCAAGGGGACCCACAAGAACACAGCGTGCCCGAGTCCCGCCTCTCCCCCGCCCGCCCTCCCCACCTGCTTTGCAGCTGCTCACCGCCAAATGTCCCGCTCTGCTCACACTTCTAGCCCAGTGCCGCCTGCGTCTCTGATGGCTGTCCTCCAAGACAGGGCTTCGTGAGCCCTGAGGTGGACACCGCACCGAGTCAGGCTATCCTCTTGGGTCTAGCTTTGAGAGTCAGATTCGAAACGGAACCTGCCACACCGGTGCTTACAACCGGGCAAAGAGCCAGGATCTGCCAGCTGTCCTTTTTCCTGGGGAAGAGGTGCCATCCTTCATTCCCACCCTGGCTTTCTCTGGCGACAAAGCTGCTAGCAGAAAGCCCCATGTACATTCAATGACTTCTGAAATATGCTCTTGAGCCCTCAAGTGTAGAACCGCACATTCCAAGGGCCAGGGCCACTCCACACAGGAGAGAGCCCTTCACCAGTGCACCAGCTCATTCAGGAGCCCCGGGGAAAGGCTGGTTAGCACGGAGCCTGATAGGGCTGGCTCTGGGCCTGGCCAGTCCCCTACCCTCACTGCCAATACAGGAAGCAGGGGAGGCTGCTGTCCATCGTCTGAGGTGGCTTTTAGAGGATCAAACACGAGAGACAGGCAGAGCACCTGCCACCAGAGTGTGGGCCTCGGAGGCAAGCGCCTCCCATGTGATGCTTCTGTTTGCAGATCGTGTGACCTGGCCAAGCAGCCTGGCCTCCCTGGGCCTCAGTCTCCTCCTCTGTGAAGCGGGGGTCAGAGCCCCACCCCAAGGCCTGTGGTGAGGAATGAGTGGAGCTGGTGAGCGGGCTCCTTGGGGCTTGCCGTGCACCCAGTTCCTGACAACAGTATTCTCTGACCTTCTCTCGGTTACGGTGGGGAACCCAAGCCTCGTGTTCTTCGTCTCCACCCACGCACATCCACAAACCAGATGTGGAGATGGCCTTCCCTTTCAAGACGAGAAAATTCATCCCGCTGCTTCCCCAAGGTGCTCACAAGGCAAAGGATCAGAGTTCTGAAAGCATGTTTCCTGGGCATATGGAAATGTCTGAGCTTAAGGAAACGAGCAGCTGGCAAAGAATGCTAAGAGAGCTCAGATCCTTTTTTTCTTATTGGGGGTCAATAGCTGGGGTCTCAAACTGAAACAATCATGAAATAGCAGCATCTACATTTAGAAATATGGACAGAGGGCCGCCTGGCTGGCTCGGCCAGCAGAGCACACAACTCTTGATCTCAGGCCATGGATTCAAGCTCCATGTTGGGCACGGAGCCCACTGTAAAAAAAAAAAAAGAGTATGGACAGAGGGGCGCCTGGATGGCTCAGTCGGTTGAGTGTCTGACTCTTCATTTCAGCTCAGGTCATGATCTCACGGTTTGTGAGTTCGAGCCCTGAGTCGGGCTCTGCGCTGACAGTACGGAGCCAGCTTGGGATTCTCTCTCTCCCTCTCTGTGCCCTTCCTCTGCTCATGCTGGCTCGCTCTCTCTCTCTCTCTCTCTCTCTCTCAAAATAAGTAAATAAGCATTTAAAAAAAACGAGAGAAGAAAAATTCTAAAAAAAAGAAATACGGACAGAAATAACAGAAGAAACAACCAGAAGACGTCAACACGGAGTGGAAATTTATGGTAGAAGAACACAGCATGTCGTTTTTTGCAAAACTAGGGACAAGTATGACTCGTTAATAGAGAAAATAAAGTAGAACTAATGAGCTACACCTACAGAGTTAACAATGACTAAGCAGTAAAAAACATAATATTGATTACATGAGACAAGCTTCATATACACAGCAAGATGCCACCTAAATTACCAAAACACATAAAACATCACTTCATACCCATGGCTTCTATCAAAAATAAGAAAAAAAGAACAAGTGTTGGGAGAATGTGGGGAAACTGGAACCTCTGTGCACTGTCGGTGGGAACGCAAAATGGCACAGATTATACGGAAAACAGTACGACAGTTTCTTAAAAAATTATGCATAGAGCTGCCATATGATCCAGCAAGCCCACTTGTGTGTATATAACCGCAAAATGGAGAGCAGGGTCTCAAAGAGGTCCCTGCGCACCAACGTTCACAGCAGCATTACTCACAGGGGCAAAAGGTAGAAGCAATCCGAGTGTCCACTGAGAGAAGAACGGATAAGCAAAGCATGGTCTCTCCATACAATGGACTACTATTCAGTCTTAAAAAGGAGGGAGACGCTGACACCTGCTCCAACACGGATGAACCTTGAGGACATTATGCCGAGTGAAATAAGCCAGACACAAAACGGCAAAAAGGGTATATAATTCCAGTTACATAAGGTTCCTAGAAGAGTCAAAATCATAGACACAGAAAGTAGAATGGGGGATGCCAGGAGCTGGGGGAGGGGAGATGGGGAGTTAGTGTTTAATGGGGTCAGAGTTTCAGTTTTGCAAGACAGAAAGAGTTCTGGGGATGGATGGTGCGATGGTTGTACAATAAGGTAAATGTGCTCAATGCCAATGAACTGTACACTTAAAAATGGTTAAAATGGTAAATTTTATGTGATATGTATTGCAACACAATTTTAAAAACATACATGAAGCAAAATTCTATCAAGCTTATTTGTGCATTTGTAGTAAGACCATAACAACATATATGAAGATGATGGTCACTCTGGGGAAATGGTGGGTGAGGGACGGGGTTGGGTGAAGGGCACTGTGAACACTACACTGTCTTTCTGAGAGAGAGAGAGAGAGAGAGAGAGAGAGAGAGGGAGAGAGAATGCTCTGAAGCAAATATGTTCAAATGTTTCCATCTGTTAAACTCATTCATTTCTTCATTCATTCAACAAACATTTCTTGAGCAGCTGTTATTAGCCAGGCATTATTCAGCAGCAAACAACTAAGACAAAAACCCTTGCCTTCAAAGAGACAGACACTAAACAAGATAAACCAGCAGCATCTCTATAGCATGTAAGGTAGGGGTAAAGGCTGGAGGCATAGTAAGTGAGCAAGAAAGGGGCCCTAAGGGCAGCAGAAGTTGAGATGGTGGCCAGGAAGGGCCTCTCAGAGAAGGTGGCTCTGAAGGAAGATCTGAAGGGGGGATGATGGGAGCTATACAGAAATTGAGGAAGAACCTTCCAGGCAGAAACAGGACCCCTCTGGCTTCTCTACCAGGAGGAGAGTGCAAGGCAAGGGAGACAGTGTGGAGCTTCTGCAAGAATCCAGGGGACAGAGGAGAATAGTTGGACCAGCTGGAGGCACTGGGAAAGTGGCCTCACTTGGAAAGTAGAAGCAACAAAATGAATGGGGGGTGGAGACAAGGAAAGAGAAGAAAGAGAGGGGAGGAGGAGGAGGAAGAGGAGGGGAAGGCACCAAGGCGCAAAGCAGCACACTGGTAGGTCTAAATTCTCGGGAGCGGGGCCTCTGAATCAGCCATGGAGACATGTTAGGGAAATCCATCAATCTGTAAATTGCCCGATAACGCTCCTCTGAAGTGAAAAATGCATACTTGGCTCTCCTGGCTGATATATACACAAGGATAGCGTCAGAATCAATGCGGACCAGTCAGCCACTTCTCCAAGCTACCCAGGGTGAAGGAGAGAAGAAACGTTGCTAATCGCCCTCCCTAATTGAATTTAATGTTCACCGTCAGGTTTTAAAGATTAATTCCCAAACACTGTGGCAGCCTGAAGTGTGTACCTTTTTTCAATTAAGTAATTAGAGATCCCAATCTGCCTCCCTGGAATTAAGGAGTTAAGTCTTCTGTCAAATGTTCTAAGATGGCTTGGTGCATTAACTAGAGACAGACATTCTATGTGTCCAACAGAAGTCAGATTTGGAAAGAACATGACAAGTGAAACACGCATTTGCTTGGCTGTCCTGTATTTACTGTGGTTTCCATGTCCTGGTTACTGATACATGGCTCTACCAGGAGTTCCTCACAGTGTCTTAAGACCTACTGCTTTAACCACAGGTTATGTTCTTTCTGCCTGTCTGCCTTTTGTTTTTGATTACAAAGTAAACGCAACCTCCTTGTAAAATATTCAAATTATACAGGTGTACAAAAAAATAATACCCCATAGGAATCAACTATAGGACTGTGGTTCCTCTGATTATATTGGAACTAAGTATGCTCGGGGCGGGGGGGTGGGGAATGAAACAACAAAGAAACACAAAGAAGAACATAAGAGTCATCCATAATTCCACCACCTGCACACAGTGGCTATCAGACTTCTGGGTGAATCTTTGCCTCCCATCTGGCCCACCCCTGACAGCTCCTGCCTCAGGGACATTCCTAGTTCAGCTGAAGTTCCTGGCCTACTCTCTACCCCCTGGCAGCCCCTGCTACTCCAGGATATCATTCTAGAGACGACTATCAGACTCACTAGCTCAGCAAGGCTGTGCAACCAGTGCGTAAACTTTGACCAAGCCATTTGCCTGCAAAAGCTTTGGGATTCCTTTATGATGTGTGTCAAAGGCTGGAACTGCACTGAATGTACAGACCAATTTGGGGAGATATCTCAACGTTATTGAGTCTTCCAATGCATGAATAGGATATGTCTCTCCTTTCATTCAGGCCTTCTTTAATTTCTCTAAGCAATGGTTTGTAGTTTTTTGTTTTTATTTTTTTATTTTTTTTTAACGTTTATTTATTTTTGAGGCAGAGAGACACAGCAAGAACAGGGGAGGGTCAGAGACAGAGAGGGAGACACAGAATCTGAAACAGGCTCTAGGCTCTGAGCTGTCAGCACAGAGCCCGACGCGGGGCTCAAACTCACAAACCGCGAGATCATG